TATGTTTACTGCAGCATTATTTATAATAGCCATAGAAGCAGCCCAAGTGTCTACTGATAGATGACTGGATAAATATGTGGAAAACACACACACACACACACACACACACACACACACACTGGATAAATATGTGGAAAACACACACACACACACACACTGGATAAATATGTGGAAAACACACACACACACACACCAGATACTACTCAGCCATAAAAAAGAATGAAATCTTGACGTTTACAACAACATGGATGAATCCAGAGAGTATAATGCTTAGCCAAATTAGCCAGTCTGAGAAAGACAAATACCAGATGATTTCACTCATATGTGTAATTTAAGAAACAAAACAGAACAAGAGAGACAAACCAAGGAACAGTCTTAACTATAGAGAACAAACTGGTGGTTACTAGAGGAGAGAAGGTTGGGGGAATGGGTGATATGATTAAGATGAAGGGGATTAAGAGTACACTTACCATGATGAGCACTGAGTAATGTACAGAAATGCTGAATCACTGTATTATACACCTGAAAGTAATGTAACACTATATTTTAACTATACTGGAATTAATTTTTTTTTAAAAAAAGGGATACTACTGGCAAAATAATACAAAATAGTATGTTGTAAAGTATTCAACCACAACAAAAAGAAAAGACAGGAAGGCATAAATGGAGTCAAAGTATTGTAAGGTTCTTATGTTACCTAGAAAAAGTAAACTACTAATATAAGGCTAGGCTCTAATAAGTCAAGGATGCATATTATAAGCTCTAGAAAAATCACTTGGGTAATAAAGTGTCTTAATAACCCTGGGGGGGAAAACTGAGTAACAAAAAATTTCCTGAATAATCCAAAGGAGGGAAAGAAAAAGGGGGGAGGAAATCAAATGATAAACAACTAGGGGATGATGGCTTTAACCCCAACTTTATCTCTAATTACAACAAATGTAAATCAACATAATACTAAAATTAAAAGACAACATTTATCAAATTGGATAAAAAACAAAACCCAACTACTTGCTGCTTATACAAGGGATATTTTAAATAGAAAAACAAAGAAACACTTAAAGAAAAAAGCAGAACAAGATATACCATGCAGCCATAAGATGGCTGATGTGTCTGTATTAAAATCAGACAAACTAAACTGGAAGCCTAAACACATTACTAGAAATAAAGAGGAACATTTCATAATGAGGACAAGGTCAATTCCACAAAAACATAATGACCCTTAACTTATATGACCTGAGTAGTATAGCCTCAATATACGGAGAGCAAAAACAGAATGTAAAGAACAAATAGCCAAGTCCATAATTATACCTGGAGATTAACCTACCTCTCTCAGAAAATGATGAAAAAGGTGGCAACAAAATCAGTAAGGATAGAGAAGACGTGAATAGCGTTAAGTGATAAATATGACGTAACTGACCTATATCAAACATTACATTCCACAACAGCAAAACACACATTCCTCTCAAGGGCACATAAAACATTTACCAAAGTACCAAATGCTGAGATAACTAAACAAGACAGTACATTTCAAAGAATGAAATCAGTAACAAAAAAAATAACTAAAAAGCCCCACATGCCAGAAATTAAGCAATATACTTCTAATTAACCCATGGGTCTAAAAAGAAATCACAGGAAGAATTTTAAAATATTTTTTAACTGAATGGTAACAAAACTGAATTAAAGCTAAGATTACAAGAAAAGCCCTAATGTTTTAAATGCATATATAAGAAGTAAAAATCAATTATCTATGCTTCCACTTCAAAAACCTAGAACACTGCAAATTAAATCCAAAAAAGTAATAGGGAGTACATCAAGCCTTCGGAAGTATAACAACTAAAGCAAAGACAGGCCAGAGGACAAAAGAGAGAATCCAAACACAGACCGTTCCAGGTGCAAGTCCTGATCCCTGACACGGGAACCACAGAAATGAGACAGGGCAAGAGTGATGGCTGCTTGGCCTCCTTCGCATACACCCCTTACCAGAAATCACTTCCAGACAGATGTGAAACATAACACAAAGCTTCTAGCAGAAAACCGAGATTATTTTCATAATCTTGGAAGGAGCAAAATTTTTGTAAATGGGCCCCAAAAGAATTAAATATAAAACTAGCTAAATTGAACCTCATTAAAATTAAGAATTTCTCTTCATCTAAAAACATAAGAAACTGACGGGCACATGACAAAGCAGGAGGAAATATTTTCAGTACATAGTTTCAACAAAGGACCTATGTCCAAAATACATACAAAATCCCACAAATCAATAAGATAACCCATTTTTTTATGTACAAATGGCAGGCCCTTCATAAAACAGGACATCCAAATGACTAATAAGTATATGAAAAAGGTACTCATAGTTCATCAGAAAAATGGGAAAGCTACCAAAATGACAGATCAGACCACGCGTGCTATAAGAATGTGAAGCAAAAAGCCAACACTGATATGCTGCAAATACTAACACTTTGAAAACCAAGTGATAGTATCTACTAAAGCTGAATATACACCCGGCCATCCATGACAATAAAATGCACACTTATGTGCAATATGATACACAAAAGAGTTTTCAAAGAAGCATTATTTTTAATAGCCAAAAGCTAGGAACAACCTTAATGCCCATCAACAGAACAAATAGATACGTGATGGTCCTAAAATGGAAGGTCTTACTCGTAGCTAAGAGTGAGCTTTTCATGCAACTACATGGATAAATCTCACAGGTGTAATCCTGAACAAAAGTCAGACACAAAAACAACATATACTATAAGACTTCCATTTATATGACGTTCAGAAACAGGTAAAAACTAATCAAAATAGTGAGAGATGTTCAAATGCTGCTGGAGAGAGGGTGGATAGGTGACTGTGAGGGGCAGGTGGGAGGCTTCTAGGGCGCCAGTCATGTTCCACCTAGTTCCATGGGGTAGTTACACGGATGTGGCCACATTACCAATATTCTAACTCTACCCATCATTTGTGCACTTTTTCAGTTATGTTATATATTACACTTCCGTAAAAGTTTCTTTAAACCTTAACAGCGAGTAAACAAATGAGCAAACAAGATTAACATTCAGGTGAAAAGAATGAATGCCTAAGGCAAGTCTGTGCTTTCCCATGAGAAAGGATCTCTTAAATCCTTTTATAACTGTGCCGTACCCGTGAAATCATGTTTTCTACCAAAATCTTTTGCTTCAAGCTTGAAATTCAAGTTTTCTTCTATGTCAGGAAGCCAGGTTCAAGAGTTTTCATAATTTTAACTAAGAGAATATAATACAATGATTAGCTACCAATAAGAGAATATAATACAATGATTAGCTACCAAGATAGTGAATACGCAAAAAAATATGTACATGTTAAAGAAACAAGCTATTAACCTAGAGAAAAGTTAACACTGCACCTTTAATTTCATGCACATACTATCATTAGATGAATTCAGATTACACTCCAAGCAGAAACTGTAGAGTATCTAATTAATTAGGACCCAGTTAAAGTTGCACTGTATATAGTAATAATATATAAGCTTAAATTAATCCTCATTCTATGAAAACAGTGGTGGGGCATGAACTACATAAGATGAAACTTAGACAAGAACACAAACAAGCAGATGTTTTAAGTGTGCTATATTTAAATGAATTCTGTAACTAATCTTTGCTCCCTGCACTTTGGAAGCCATCTAAAATGTAACTGGACACAGCAGGAGAGAAGTATGCACTGCTGTGATGGTTCCAGGAACTCAGTCACACAATTGCTCATCACTAAATACTTATGAATTCTAAAATAAGACAAAGGGTTTGCTTTACATTACAGTATCCTAAGTGCAGCCTTAAAATATTCTAGTTGCTTCTGATATTATTCAAGGGCATATTTTATATGCACCTTGAAGTCCTCTGACAGATTTATGGTTTTTAAAGGACTTACGAATATAAGAACATAAAGAGCTACAGTGCCATCTACTGGAGAACAAAGACCATGTTACTTTTTTGGCAAAGTTCACTATATTCTATCAAACAAATTCCAGAGTCATGTCTACATTGCATTTCCATCAATCATATAACATGTCATTAACTATTAAGAGAAATCTGTTCGTTTAACCATCTACGGAGCAATTACAACCGAATCTGATGAGATTACAAATGTCTACTACCCCATTCCCACCCACAAAGGAAATTATGCAGAAGACTTGGAAATTAATATCCAGCTGGCTCAGAAAGGACCTGGGATTTCCTTCTCAATGACTTTTTTCCAAATTCCTAACTAACCTCATATTTCTCTTAAAAAAAAAAAAAAAAGACTTCTTTCAACATGACTCATTCACTCAGCATTTGTTTTGTATCCATAATATTAGATATCCTCAAAAGCAGAGGACAACAAGAAATCCCCAATATCCCTCCCCAAATAAAAAAACTCATGGAGAAAAGCAATAATATGAACAATGACTTATGCAAAACACTTTACTTCTTCAGTAGTTAACACATTTTTCTTTTAAGTATCACATGCTTCACGAACATGAATGTCACCCTCCAAAGGGACCGTGCTAACCTTCCCTGCACTTCCAATTTTAGTATGTGTGCTGAAATAAGCACAAATGCATCCTGCCATGTAAAGAATAAAGATTAATAGGAACGTTCTTATACCTCCCTGAATCTAGAAAGGATTACATTGGGAAAGGAAGAGTGACGGAACTTACTGAGGCGCTACACGTCTCCAGTAACGATCAATTCCATTCTTAAAATACAGCACAGCAAGCCACCTTACATTTATATCCAGAGTGTGGTTTGTGAAAATATTCTGTAAATAAAAAACACAGTATTAAAATGAACATGTCATAAGTTAAATTACTATACCGATATTAAAGTACAGATAATACTTTATATGCTTCACTTAAATTTTATCACTACAGAGATTATATATTCTAAGTATCTATAGCTCTACAATTCATATGAGAAAGCATACCTGGTAGAAGTATGTTAATTTTTTAAGCTGAGTAATAAATATCTGGGACTCATTAAATTAGTCTACCTGTAGGTATGTTTGAAAATTTTCCAAATAAAAAATTAAACTCAGAAACAAACCTAATCATGTATCACAACCTACACACGTACAAAACACTGAAATAAACACCTTCTCAATTAAAAAAAAAAAAATAGACCCGCCAAAGCATACATTCAAAGATTCTAAGGAGTCAAAACCCCTGGATTCTTAGCACATGCTATGAAATAAACTATTTCAAAGTATCCTCCTTATCAAAACAATTATGCTTACAAATAAGTATGGCAGCAGAACATTAACCCAAATACAGGCAGTCCTTGTTTTGCAGAGCAGTGGGAGATCATAAAAATGACTGTGCAAGCTAAACATGCAACAAGATCTTAATCATCAAGGTGAAAATTACAATTGTTCTGTGACCTTTACACATTTTTACCAAAAATTTATTAACATTATCAAAAATTTATAACATATTTGTAATTGGAAATAAAAATAAAACAAATATTAACACTGTAATTTAAAACATGACCAAAACAGAATTAAAGTATTTTATTTCCTTATAAAAAATGTACCTAAAATAGTGGGTACATAGCAAACACAGGAATATGTTAATTGACTGAAACTGCACTACACCTCAGACCAAAAACAACTCAAATCCCCAGAGGTGACCTCTTAAACACAACCTTGTGTGAGAAAACCTCAAAATCAAAACAATGATGTAGATATATATTCCTTACTATAAAAAAAACACTGCATGTAAACTATCTAAAAACAGGTATGTATAATTCCATTTTTAGAAAATCATGTACATACACAAAAAAAAAAAGATTACAAGGATAGTTGTGTAATGCCCACTTACTCCTTAACACCCCTGACAACGAAGTCGGAGACCTTCTTTTGGGTTATCTTTGCAAAGAATGGTCTTCTCCCACCATATTAATCACATTCGATTTTAACACTTAACATGTCTACCTTCCACAACAGACTTTGTCATAAATATCCATGGAGCAAATGAACAAATGAATGGAGGTAATGTGGGAATACTATGGAAAGATGGTGGATATCAGCCTGTGTCAGCTGCACTTGGGTAACCAAGGAAAGTCAAGCTGCAGGTGTAAATCCAAGTAGAAATATTCCTTAAGTATTTTGAACAATAGGACTGGAACACAAATCTGAGGATCAAATGTACAAATTCAGGACCTCCAAACTAAAAAGAACAGCTAAGGCTACAACAGATTAAAAGTGCCAAGACAGTGAGTTGAGGAAAAAATTAAAAATTCCTGCCTTTAACTTAACATTTTCCATCTATTATAAATACAATCTACTCCATCTAAAGCAATTTTACTACCCCTCTAAGAAGAAAAGCAGAGTTAATAAATATAAAAACAAAAGGCTTAGGCACTTAATATTATTAATAATTCATACAATGCACAAAAAGTCAATAGTTAAAAGACTATTGGTTTTTTTAAGGTCTAGGAGTAACCAAAGTAAGAAACACCAAAATGTTTTATATTTTGGCCTAAAAAAAACACAAGGCTAATTATACAGCATGTTCATTTAAAAAAGCATACGAAAAATAAGGAGACTCAGAAATATTCTAAAGATTTATACTGCACCCAAATTTTACAAACATGATACTGGGATTATCCAAATAAGGACAGAATATTTTCTTTATCTTTAAAAATCAATGTTTTAAAGAAAAAAAATTTTTTTATTCAATCTGGTTTTTTTACCTTTTTTCTACGAAGCCAAATACCCAAACTGCATGTTATGTTCAGAATATCAAGTATGACTCTAGACATGACCAGCATCTTCTTAAGTTTACCAAATAACTCAAATATTTTAGCCATGAAGTAAAAAAACACGTCTGTCAACTTCCACAATTTTCTATTTTTACAAGATACAGTGAACAGTTTACTTTGCATTTGCAACCCAGTACCAAAACTCAATCAGTTTGTGATCCAACTGGTAGCTCACTGCCCTTGCCAAAAGCAAATCTCAAACGTTAACCAGAATTCTAAAATTGTCAGGGGAAAAAAAAAAATCAGAAAGACCCTCAATACAAAAAGACATTCTTTTATTCTGGCATCGAGAAAATAATTTTGATTAACCAAAAGCTTTGAACTCCTAGTAAAGTTTAGTTAAAGCATATACTGTTAATTACCATACTCTTTTCCATTTTCACCCAGGAAAAGACCAATGTGTCAAGAAAACGAAATTTTTAGAAGGGGCAAAGAAAACCATGCTTTGAAGTAACACAGTGAGCAAGGTAGACCAAACTGATGCTGCATGGGGAGACCTGAACAACTCTGACAACATAAATTAACTGGGGCAAGAATGAAGACAAAACAGGAAAGTGTACTACGTACAGTCCTGAGGTCAGCATTAACATGCTAAAACAGAGTATCAGCATAGTGCTGCCTTCTGAGCAGAAACAACCAATACCCTGCTCACTTTTTTATTCAACAATCAACAAACATTTCAACACCCTCAAGAGTCACGCCCTGAATTAATAAATGGCAGTGGCAATGACATTTAGATCAGCTTCACTAAAGTAAACCACCAATACAAGTAGATTCTTAGAACAATTAAAATAACAGTGTCTCATTTTATTAAAAATAATAGTAAACTATTTTAGAACAACTTACCAGCAACACTGAATAGAAACCTGGCTGTGTCTCCCACTGTTTCAACTGCTCCTCTGCTGGTTTTAACACAGCGGTATCCTGACTGGTGGCCTGTGTTAAGACCTGAAGAACAACAGTGCTGGCACTATTGAGATCCATGGAAACCTGGTAACGATACGTTAACATACTTGAATAAACATACATAAAAAACTAATAGTAACACAGAGAAAAAGCGTCAATGTTCTGAATTACTCCCTTACTTCAATCATTCACCTACTCTTCACGTTTCTGCTGGATTTCTATTTTTACTATGTTATCACCGATACTCTAAAATTCCAGTAATTCAAATCGCTTTTGCTTAAATCAATTTATCATTTTTTTTAAGTTTTTTTTTTTTATTTTAAAGATTTTATTTATTTGAGAGAGAGAGAGAGAAACAGCATAAGAGGGGAGAGGATCAGAGGGAGAAGCAGAGTTCCCTGCTGAGCCGGGAGCCTGACGCGGGACTTGATCCCAGGACCCCGGGATCGTGACCTGAGCTGAAGGCAGTCACTTAACCAACTGAGCCACCCAGGTGCCCTTAAGATTTTTATTTATTTGTCAGAGAGAGAAAGAGAACACAAGCAGGGGGAGGAACAGGCAGAGGGAGAAGCAGGCTCCCTGCTGAGCAAGGAGCTGGATGCGGACTTGATCCCAGAACCCTGGGATCATGACCTGAGCTGAAGGCAGACGTTTAACTGACTGAGCCACACAGGCATTCCCAAATCAATTTATTTCTGATGGAAACTGCCTTCATTGTCCCATAAATAGAAGGTAATAGTAAACGGAGAACAAACAAGAAACTCACACACAAAACCCAAAGCTACTTAACTCTGATGGAAACTGCCTTCATTGTCCCATAAATAGAAGGTAATAGTAAACGGAGAACAAACAAGAAACCCACACACAAAACCCAAAGCTACTTAATTCTGATTGAGTATCACCATGTGCCTAAGACTAAGCACAATGCCTTCTGTCTTAAGGAGATTAATAAGTGTTATAAAAGAATTAACCACTATATCCCTAGTTAAGATCAAAAGAAGAAAAATGAAAAAGTTCTTTGACTCATTGCTAAATGCCTCAGAACATCATCTTATATGCCACCAAAAATATGTGTCTATAAGTTAAAAGACAAACGTATAGTCAAGAAATACTGTGGGGGAAAAAATGGACTAAGTCAACAAATACAAAATATAATATAAAAATAGAAGCCCTAAGTTAGAAAGGATCTTAAGAGTTGTATCATCTAATCCTATACCAGGTCATCTGAGGCCATTCCAAAAGTTCATTTAGCAATTTACTGAATTCTCTAGCATTGTTCCTAATCACCCCCAAAACAGTACACAACTGTATACTTACCCAAGTATGTCTAATTGTTCACAATACACTTATATGAAGTATATAAGATTAAAATTAAAAGCTAAAAGTAGACAGAAAATAAACCTCAGTGCAGAAGTGACTGAGAATTAGCTTTGTGATTGTAGTTGTATCTAAAACTGAAAACTGGGGCGCCTGGGTGGCTCAGTTGGTTAAGCGACTGCCTTCGGCTCAGGTCATGATCCTGGAGTCCCGGGATCGAGTCCCGCATCGGGCTCCCTG